CGCGAGCCTTGACCTCCATGCCGGCGGTCCTCATCTGGTGGGCGTGCTCATCGTCCAGGATAAGCATGATCACCGGCGTCGACCCCTCCGGCCCCTTGCGATGGACAAAAAACAAAACAAAAAAATCCCGACAAAATCACACGTCAATTTACATGTAAATAGAATATCAGACGCGGGGGGGGGGCACTCAGATGCGGGAGGCGGGAAACAAGAAAAACTTGCGTGTGTCCTCGATGCCGAATCGGCGCAAGTCGAGAAATAACGAAGCTAACACCGAAAGACTTGACCTAGACTGCCAAGTCGGCCTGGAAAGATCACTGACGTCTGTCTCTTTTGGTGTACCTGGCTACTCACTACATCCCTCCGTCGATAAGCGCGAAGGACGCAAGCCGGCTTCGTTCGACAGGCCAGCGGACCTACTCCCGAAACACATCAAAACAACTTGTACTGTGCAAACAATTTTTCGCCACTGCTGTTGTAAAAAAGAACGTATCTACTTGGTACTGCATACTCACATCCTCTCCTTCGATGAGCGCGAACGGTCCGTGCTTGAGGGCACCGCCGCTGTACCCTTCGGCGTGGATGTACGACATCTCCTTGAGCTTGAGGGCCCCCTCCATGGCCACGGGCTCACCGTACCCCTTGCCCAGTACGAAGCAGTGGCTCTTGTTGTGCAGCCTGATCGGTCAAAGGTGGTGGTGGTGGTGGTGGGGGTCGTACTCATGTTGTGCAGGCCTTAGTGGCTAGACCATTGGCCACGCTTCCTCGAGAGGACGGAGCATTGCTCCCACAGGACGGGGGGGGGGGGGGGGGGGGGGGGGGACCCCAAATCCGGGGTGGCCGAATGTTTTGGACCTTTACTCCCCCCCCCCCACAAAACGGGGGGGGAAAACCCCGGGGTTTTCCCCGAACAAGGGTTCCCATTACCCAAAGGGAAAACCCCGGGGGGATTTTGGGAGGCCCCTTAAAGGGGGGGTGCCCCCCCCCCCCTCAGGGGGGGGGCCCGGTTTTTTTTTTTCTTCTCGGTGGGGGGAGGGAGAAGCGCAGAGAAAATATTTTTTTTTTTTGGGGGG